ATAAATAATAATAATAATAATAATAATAATAATAATAATAATAATAATAATAATAATAATAATAAACAGCGTTACTTACAGCTTATGGCGAATTGTTGGAAATTTGGAATTTATAAAAATTAACTGACCCACATCATCCAATTAATCAACACAACGAATTTTTTGATAATAGACTTGCTAATAAATCCTACTTTTGAATTATTTCATTCAGTTTATTTGCTGATTAGGAATTAAATAATTTTTTTGAATGTATTCAATGAAAAAAACTAAAAAACTGTAAACTTACTCTGCATACACAGTATTTGCTGCAGTAGAAATCACTGTTTGTGTCGAATTACCATCACCTCCATCAGCAGCACCACTGCTACTACCATTACTGTTGTTGCTACTGCTACTACTACTAGTACTGCTACAATTACTACCACTAATGCTAGTATTATTGTAACAACTGTTATCACCAATATTACTATTACTACCACCACTACTACCAGCTGTGGCCGTAGTAAATCGAGATACCCGTTCCCATTTACCAAGATGTGCTGCACAACGATGTATCAAATCGCAGTACTGTAATGGTAGCAAATATGCTGCATAAAGCGAAAACGATGTTAAAAATACGACACAAAATAATTCCATAACCCAAAAAATATCAATGTACATCTGCTGCGGTAGGCCTGATGGTGATCGTTGCTGAAATCATTCCAGTTTAAAATTCACTGAAATTGCAATTTTCAGTTGGAAATTTCAGGAATTGTTGTAAAATGAACGAGCAAACGGTTGAAAACTGTAAACTGCCAATTATAATCATAAAATTTCCCAGATTAATTTTTCTTTTTACATTAATGTATTAAACGCATCGTCCTTTCGTCATAAGTACGATTATCCTTTATTTAAATTACCTTGGAAGAAATCAAATCGGTATACATATATATATAAGAAACAAAAAATAAAGATAAAAACTTACAGGTGTAAATACACATGGAACAAAAATTGAAAGATATGCTGTTGTTAAACCAGAAAAGAAGCAGTGCTTGATTCGTAAACCAAAATCTTTCATTAAAACCGAAACTTCTTCACGTATTTGCACTGAAAGTCTTATAAGTCATTTAATTATTTGAAAGAAAAAATGGAAAGAATTCCAATTTTAGCTAATTATATGGAAGGAAGAAAAACTATTACATACATGGATTAGTGCTACACATATGTACAACACTATCAACATCAATAAGCGCTGGTGGGTGCACAAGACCACGATACACTACATTTGATATTTCCGATAATGATCTTCCATTAAGAACAAACCATAACTTTGTAGCATAACAGCGCATTTTATATGATATGTTATCATGGAATAAGTATAAGAAGAAAAGAACCCTATAAACCAACTCTTTTTCGGAAAATTAAATTGCAAATTATAATCAGAATTAAAAAGAAATTAACTAATATCAAAGATGACGCAAAAACAATGAAAATTCGAAATTACAATTATTTATTGCGTAAAAACTCACTCTTTTAATACAACCTATTTTTAAATCTTGCACAAATTTCAAGATGTAATTTACATTTCTGATTGGAACAATATTTCATACAAACTATTAAGAATTATTTTTAAAAATATTTAAGGACCAAAATATATTCTCTTTTGTGCAATGTTCTTTTGCAGAAAATTAAAATTCTAGTGCTATTCAAAATTTTTGCCTGTACATACTCATTCCTATTTTCCTTTTCTATCATCCATTGTTCATTTCTTTCATCATACTTCCTGAAAAATTATATTGCAGTTTAAAGGTAAACTTACGGGTGTCCAAAGTAGAGCAATGATTTGAAGGGAAAATCAAAATAAACACGCGAAAAACTGAATAGAAATGAAGTAGCAACCATCGTAAACATTGGTGTTTTAACTGCTGCCCACTCAATAATATCCCACAATAAGCAATGAGCTTTTGAACCATCTTGTCTGGCATTCGTTGCCAATTCGGTTATCTATACATACATACCAAAATATTTGTTCAATTTAATTTCGAAAAACTTAAAATTTCAGTTATTTCCCTTTCGAAAATGATTAAAATAAAAAGAAAAAGAGAACAAAAACAATCGAATCTCTATTCATCTCTATTTACCGTTTTCCAAAAACACTTTGTCACTCGTATGCCAAGTAACAGACCAACACACGATAGCAAATATGGATTGATTAAATGGAATTTCTGAAATAAATGAAATTAAAAATTAAGGAAAACAATTAACCTATAAATATTTTTAAAAATTGTTTATGTTCTTCGATTTCACATATACAAATAATAACAAGCAACAAGTTTAGTCGATCACTCGGAATAAATCAAATAAACAATAAAAAATTTATGAAGAAGTTACCAATGAATAATGCCAATACGATTTTGGCAACCACCACATTGTCTTGTATAAATTGAGATATTGCAAGAAAAGTGCTAATACAGAATAAAGGAATAGCGTACATTCAAAAAATAATTCACCCTGTCCTTGAGGCATTTCCGGCCAAATAGGATGAATTTGTGCACTTCCTTTACCACATATTTCATTCCTGAAAATAAATTTCCAATCTTTCCTTAAAATTTATATTTAAATAGACAGGAATTTATTGTTAATTGAAGTAAACGATATTGTAAATTGTAAAAAACATTACAAGAAAAAAATTGTAAAAATTCAATCATTCATTTATGAATTGTAAATCAAATTTCTTAATTGTAACTTTAAACATTATAACGAATGTCACATCACTATCCTATTGATGTATTATTTTCCGCACATACTCTTTTCATTTATCACATACCAATCCATATCTTTTAGCGTAACATACATGGTACATTATGAAATGTTTCTGATATTATCTAATGCTAACATATTAGCTTTTAGATTATCGAAATTAAAATTAAACTAAAATGAAATTTATACAATATCGATCAGATAGGATGATGAAATGTTGAAAATAAAATTAATATATATAAAGAGGATATAAGGCTAACAATGATGAAGGATGTCATAAAGAAATTTTGGTATTTTTACACAGTTGTAGCATAGAATATTTATACTACAGCTAAGTTATTTGACTTCTTATGATAATCCTAGTTGAGCTTACCAAAAAGCTCCTCTTCTAATCTTAGATATATATGAAAAAAAGAAAAAAACGAAATCCAACAAGGTCAATTTTCACAATCAAACATGCATAACAACATCCTCTATATCAATCTATCATCACTTTTGTCACCAGCTACATTATCACTTCCTTCTTTTACAATTTGTTATCTTTCCTGAAGCCATAATCTTATCACTTACTCATTCAATGAAGGATACACTCTTATATCTTAATTATTACAAAATTTATTAACAAAACGACAAATAAAAAAGATAAACAAACAACAAAAGAATTTTTATTAATTAAAAATCATTTTTGATTAAAGATCATATTATTGCTTGTCTATTGTTTAACTCATTCTTATCACTACTGTTTAATAATTTGTCGTATACTTTGTATCTTTTCTTACTGCTATTAACTAATAATATTGTATGGATAGGTAAAAAAAAAAAACCTATACCTCCCACAAAACGGATCAATTAATTAACTTTCCCAACATTAACTTCTACTTCATTTTCATTATCAGTGTAAGATAAAAGTAACACAATAATTATTCGACAAATTTATACTAAATTAATTTTTATAAATTTAACCCGATTTAATTCTTTTACAAATTTAACTTTGATACTTTATATCAATAAAGATTTTGTAATCTTATCAAAATTAAATAATACTAATTTATATCTATAAAGATCTAACATTATGTATACTAATCTAGTGAAATTTATCAAAGATTAATCTCTCACATATAAAATTATCTTCTAATTTATATATCTACTAAATTAAATATAAATAATTCATACCTTTTCTTCCTATCATCCACTCGTCCAATATTACCAGGTGTAGATGGCACAACAGAACCGTACGAACGATTAGCATTAGCATGATGTCGATTACGTAATGTTGAACGACCAACCATTTTTTTTTTTTTTTTGTTAATTCTTCAAAATTTCATTAAATTTTTTTAAATCTCTATTTTATTACAAACATAAACCCTTTAACGTAATAAATGTTTATTCTAACCAAAACAATAATAATAATAATTAATATAAAAGTTATCATTTTAAATATTAATATATTTAAATATCCGAACTATAAAATTAATTTTTTAATGAAATAATATAAATTTGTAACTATAATAAAATCCAAAAATAATCATTCGAGAATTATTGGTAATCCTTATGACCTAATATGTTATATACATTATATTATGGTATACACTTTTAAACAATCGTTTTTTCTTTTTTTTTTTTTTTTTTTTTACGAATAATATAGGGAAAATAATTGGTGTAAATGTATACTCCATTCTTTTTCCTTTATAAATAGGCAATTTGCTAAATTTATATTAAAATTTAACTAATAGTTTTACAAAATTTACTAACACAATGAAATTAATACTTCACTAAATATGCAATCAATCAACTCACTTTCTTATATGTTTCCATGAAATTACTAAAATAAATTTAAATAAACTTATTAAACCAGCATTTCTCTTTCTGACATTTAAATAAACATGCATAAATGTTTGCTATCTTCTAATTGAAAATTTATGCAAAATTCTTGAAATTTAACAAGAATTAATGGATAAATCGCATTCCATCGAAATGATCAAAAATTTCAACAACCTTTTTCTTTTTTTTGTAATAATATGTCAATTTATGTTTGTTTTTATTTTTATTCTTTACTTTCCATTGAAATAATTTCTAGAAATTATTATAAAAATTGTGATTTCAAACGAACAAGAAAAATTGAAAAAATCACTCAGCAAAAATTTTCAGAAATTTCTTTTTCTAAAAAAAAAATAGAAATTCGTTACAAGAATTTCTACGATAAATCACAAATGAATTTATCTATATTTCACAGTTTCGTACAGAATCAATTGCAAAAAAAAAAAGAAAAAGCACGAAATATACTGACAGAAAAGATCAAATACGATTTTCTGCTAAAAATTGATATTTAAAAAAAAAGTTTAAATTTTAAAAATTGATAAGAATGAAAGAGGCGTAGCAAAATATAGCAAACAATAATAACAACAAAGCAAAATTGAGCGCATTTAAAAAATTTTTCGTTCTGCTTTTCGTTTTTTTATTTAAATCAAGAAATAATTTTTCAAAAACATAAAATCAAAGAAAACAAATAGCAATAGAAAAAAGGAGAAATTTTGTCGGTTTCAACAAGAAAAAAAATTTAATTTGTATATTGTTACGATAGTAATTAATACTAATAATAACAATAATAATAATGATAATTAATAATGATAATAATTAATAATAATAATAATTAATAATAATAATTAATAATAATAATAATTAATAATAATAATAATTAATAATAATAATAATTAATAATAATAATAATTAATAATAATAATTAATAATAATAATTAATAATAATAATAATAACAATAATAATAATTAATAATAATAATGAAGATAATAATAGTAGTAACAATAAATAATAATAATATTCATTTCTGATACCATTTATTTATGAGAAAATAATTTGAAATTTTTAAAACTATTACTACTAAAATAAAATAAAATAAAGTATCATACTATGATCGTAGGAATTGGAAGAATTAGAATTAAAAGAATCGGAAAATCATGAAAACCATAGTATAGTTTATCCCAAGAAATTCATATTCCAGTTATTATATTCCCAGAATGATGTAATTCTAGATTGAAAATAAAATACCATCTCTACCATTGATAGATTGATTGTCCTACAATGACTTCAATACAGGATAAGATGATAATATCACATAATGATTGTAACATATTTAATCAATAATTGATGTATACATTTTATCAAAATAATCAAAGTATATGTAAAATAAGACATATAAAATATTACTAAGTATATAGACAATATGGAAGTGGAAAATAGCGCGAAATTTGGAGAGACGAGGGAGGAAAAGAAAAAGAAGGAATTTTATTAATTG